CATTCATAATATACACTTCAGTTATTGCACTGTCCTAGTAGACACGTCTGTATGACTGATTCACAACTACACATATCTTTATTAGTTTATACCTGTAGTTCACCGATGGCGTATGCGTTACACATAAGATTCATCATATGGTGAACCAGCGTGGAACCCAGCAACATAACTTCTTCGTGTGTAGGATCAAACGCAGCCCCACAATCATTCAGAAAATACCGCCCGCTCTGCACCAGCAACTTGGTAATGACGAAAGCCTGAATGCATCTTCTCAGCAGGTCTGTTGGCGGCCGTTCCTTCCTGTTGGTAACCAGGTGATATACAGGCCGGTACGATGAGGAGCTGTACATACCACCTTCGTCAAAGCCAATCGCCTCGGGGGGTCTAGTGCTCTCCTCGCTTTTCAACACGAACAGCAGGCTCTTCAGGGTGGCAAAGGAGGTGTACGTTATTATCCTATAAGCCAGGAAGGAGTTTGCCCCCATGTCGAGGTTGACAAGTGTTGGTAGGATATTGCATTCTTGCCAGTGGCACCCAGCGAGGCCTTCTGCCCGACACGCTTCACTGCAAAATATCACCTGAAAAAAAAGAGACAGATAAAAAGAGAACACACACACACACACACACACACACACAGAAGGATAGAGAGAGAGAGAGAGAGAGGACGGGGTGCACAGGCATATTTATACACACACACAAAACAGCATATATATATTAAATATATATATATATGTGTGTGTGTGTGTGTTGTATGTATGTATGTATACACACACACATATTTATTTATTTATTTATACATATGTATATATACATGTAAATTATTTATATATATATACATATACATAAACATGTATATTATATATATATATATATATATATATATATATATATATATATATATATATATATACATATATATATATATATATATATATATATATATATATATATATATACACATATGTATATTATATGTTTATATATATACTATATATATATATGCTATATATATATATATATATATATATATATATATATATATATATATATATATATATATGTGTGTGTGTGTGTGTGTGTGTGTGTGTGTGTGTGTGTGTGTGTTTGTGTACACACACACATACACATATTTGTGTGCGTGTGTGTGTGTGTGTATAGACAGAGAGAGAGAGAGAGAGAGAGAGAGAGAGAGAGAGAGAGAGAGAGAGAGAGAGAGAGAGAGAGAGAGAGACAGACAGACAGACAGACACGTGGCTTTGCTGTAAACCACAAAAATGCCGAGGGCCTTCCTTACTTCAAGCTTCATCACAACATTACAACGAAAAGCCTTCAGCATACTACCTCGGTTGTTATAACATATGTTGCATGAATCTCGCTTCTTGTTTTATATTGCAACACAAGTGACCTTTATCTTTCCTTAAAAAAAGTTTTCTCGCATCTCCAATTTCCCAAACCTGCAATATATATATATATATATATATATATATATATATATATATATATATATATATATATATATATATACAAATATATATACATACAGACACACACACACACACACACACACACACACATATATATATATATATATATATATATATATATATATATATATATATATATATACATATATATATACATATATATATATATATATATATATATATATATATATATATATATATATATATATATATTTATACATATATATGTATATATATATATATATATATATATATATATATATATATATATATATATATATGTATATATATATATATATATATATATATATATATATATATACATATATATATCTGTGTGTGTGTGTGTGTGTGTGTGTGTAAACACAACGCTGCCTTTTCCCTCTGTGCAGGAAAAGATAATAATGGACACAGACAGAAAGCTCAGAACCTTTGATCTTTGTTCTTTGATCAATGGAAGAACCGTTGTTGGAATACTACCAATTAATTGATCATAGATGCAATGTTGCAACATTCAGGAAGTGAGGACCTTCCATCGGCCCGACTCCTTGGCAACGGCGGCGGAGATAGAACGTCAGCGTAGGAGATTTCCTCTTTTAATTGATAAATAGATGGCGATGATCGTGATGTTGGTGCTTTAAATGATAGCCAATGTTTCTTATTATTTTCATCACTTTCGTTGTCAATATCAAGATTAGTATAGTTTTGTTACTATCATTTCTATTATCATTATTAACAAAATCATTAGCATTGTAACTTCTATTATCATCATTGTTATTATTATCATTATTGTTAAATAGGTAATATAGGCTAATATACCGTAATCCCCTGAATGCAGAGAAAGCAGGTTTCAAGCACGGTCAATATGGATTCCTTCTCACGCTGGAATTGCAACATAATACTGTTGACACTTTGCAAATAATTCCTGTGAGCTAGGCTTTGCTGTTACACGTGTTAGCATCCCTTTTGTTGTTACGAAAACCTATTATCAATAACAATGAAAATGAATTAATATCTTCCCAAAGATTTAAGTCCTAAATGCATCCTAAATGTCCAGTTAAAAACGAAACGTGAATTGGGAAACGTAATGTGATTAGTGTTTGAAATGTACTTGGATAAAGGTATCTTCTGTAGATTACTGGATTTGATGGAGAAGAGAAACATGATGCAATTTCATACGTCAACATATGCGGAGAACATAAGCAACACACTCTTCCTCGTTAGTTAATTGAATGTAATATAATACCTTGGTGTGGGGAATTACGACTGGTGCCATTTATTATTATGTGTGGAAGAGCTCCGGGACATGTGGCATTATGTCTAGAATTCATTGACAACAGTTGCTGCATAATGGTTATATCAACGATAATGACAATAATGAGGATGATGATGAGGATGGTGGTGGTGGTGATGATGATGATGATGATGATGATGATGATGATGATGATGATGATGATGATGATGATGATGATGATGATGATGATGATAATAAATAATAATAATAATAAAATAATGATGATAATAATGATAGTGATATTAACAATAATACTAATGAAAGAAATAATAATAATAGTAATAATGATTATGATGATATGGTGATGGTAATAATAATAATAATGGTGATAATAATGATGATGATGATAATGATACCAACAATGAAAATAACAAGCAATACTAACAATGATAGCAAAACATTGTGATAATAATTGCAATAGTAACAACAGTAAAAGTAGTATTTAATCAGTCCTATTAACTTATTCATTTTACTTATTAATAACGTTACTCTTTCAATACTATTGTCATCACCATACTTCACCACAAACCCAAACTAACACCTTAATCATAAATTTTCACCAATGTCCCCAAAATATTGACCCATTACCCGAGAACCACCTAATTAGCCAATCGAAAGAGACATAACCACCAGCAGAACTCACAGCGGCGCAGAGGGGGCACGGCAGAGGGGTGAGGGACCGAGCCAGGCAAACGCAGCAGTGTGTGAGGAGATTCTGTGCATACAAAGCACTGCAATAATTCCTCTCGACACACACGGTCTCACCTGCAATGGGAGAGGGGGGGGAGGGGAGAGAGAGAGGGTGAAGATAAAGTGCTAGGTGTTAATTACGGATTTTTGTCATGTTTGTTTGTTTTAATGATTATTTCTGGTGTTTCATTAATTTTTATGTTTTGTTATTATTATCGTCATTATTATTTTTATCATTATTATTATCATTACTACTACTAACGAGAAAACTGCTACTACTACCACCACTACCGATACCATTACTACTACTACTACAACTACAGTACTTCTACTACTACTACTACTATTAGTATTAATACCATCACCATCACTACTACTACCATTATTACTATTATTACCATAATCATGATAATCGCTATCATCGCCATTACTATTTTGCTATCTTTATCGTTTTTAATATATTAATTAGCATATTTACATTATTGCCTGTGCCCATCACATGTACGCATTGCTATTACTCAGACACAGTACATTCATAAATAAATACATCTGTATCACAGACACAGGCACTCTTGCACGTAGGCAAATATTTTTAGACATTTAAAAGTAAACAGATGAATATCTGAAACAAATAAGCACTGTACATAAATAACATTTTCCACTAGGTACAAGTGAACGAGAACTACAAAATAGGATTATGAAGCAATATTCTAGAGGAGTGCTCATTTTACCTGGACTAATGTCTCTATCAGCTACCAAGTATCTTCCCTGTGAGGGCGCAAAGGCCACTCTAACATCCTTGCTGAATGCAGGTATGGTTGGATGAGGATCTGGCAACACTGGCATCTCGGAACACGGGGTGTCGAAAAGTTTCGCATATTTGTCGTTTGTATGTATTTTCCCATTTTCTTCATCCTTTATTCTAGCGAGACATTTTACTCTCCTCTCGGACAGTACTTCTCGACGCAATTCGTCAACGCTGTGATTGAGGGCCGCGTCGATGTCGATGATGCATTTGCGATAGTGTCCTACCTCGAACAGAACCGCGGATCGACTACCGTAACCACGTGCCAAGAGTTCGAAGTCCTGGTGCGTTCTTAATCTCTCTTCCTCCTCCTCGTCTGTGATTAGATTATCTATATTATTGTTTCGATCTCTCTTGTTCTCTAGACCCACGTTCCTTCCACCAGGCAGCGAAGGATGGGGCGCAAAGATAATGGCCAGACTGCAGGATTTCAGCGCCTCCTTCAGATCTCCACGTTCGAGTTCCTCCTCCCCGCACTCCAGATACGACTCGGCGATATTTTTTGATTTTCTCGCAGATACGAGTGTTGGCGTGAGTGCCTGGTGAGCCTCCTGGAGATCCCACAAGTAAGAGAACATTTCCTCTTCGGTGTGGTTCGGACCCACGTGTTCGAAAACCTCTCGACTCTTGCCCGAGGTTTTTAACAGGGTTATGAAATCCGAAATTAGCGAAGTGATGTTCGGAGAGGAGTCCATGGCAGCAGGTTTTTCCCTCATGGCTTCAAACC